ACACATATGCAGATTGGGCCGGTAGTGTAACAGATAGAAAATCCACATCTAGTTACTTTACATTCGTGGGAGGTAATTTGGTGACATGGAGGAGCAAGAAATAGAAGGTAGTAGCTTTATTTAGTGTAGAAGTCGAGTTTAGAGGTATGACTAAAGGAATTTGCAAACTCCTTTGACTACATAGGTTGCTTACTGAAATTGGGTATAGACTTACATCTGTAATGTATCTCTTTTGTGACAACAAGGCTGCAATAGCTATTGCACAGAATTGGATTCAACGTGATCGCACCAAACAAGTCAAATAAGTTTGAAACTATATATGTAGTCTTGATGCATAACAAAGATCAAATAACATGCATCCGAATCAGAATGCCTTATTTACGGAGTAATTGGACAACTTGATTGGAATCTTGAAGTCTGCACATGTTTTGGAAATGTTAAGTACATACAAATTTCAAAGCATCGTTGTTTCCCATTCCCATCTTGTTTGGAATTTATTCCAAGTCCCTTTCGTTCTCTCTCTCGCTTTCAACCCTCTTTTTTTTTTTTGGTCTGAATCAGTCCCCCCTGCCTTTTTAATTAAGTCTCTCTCTCTCTCTCTCTCTCTCTCTCTCTCCAAATCAAGCTCTTTTTTCTGTTTTCTATGGCTGGTGAATTCTCAGGAAGGTAATTCAGAAGAAGGGGGAGAAAGCCACGAAAATGAAACCGACCCCAAAAGTATTTTTATGTTTTTAACTTAAATTTGTGAAGATGTAAATTAAAACTATTGATTTACACTTTTTAATTCACCAAAAGGATTGAAATACGAAGACTTCAAATTCATTAACTGAATTGAATGACTAAAATGAAGCTTATATAGGTGCAAAAAGTCGACGGAAATTACCAAAATTAACCCCCTATTATTAATTCACTTGAAGTCCATAGCACATGGGATCCACCCGAAAGAAGAGGATCGGATCCACCTGAAGTAGTCAAGTCCCAATCAATGGAAGAAGTGGACTCTCTCCGACCTGCGAGCCATGAAACAGAATCGATATCTGGAATTAGTTCCCCTTCTCGACCAACATTCCATGCCTGGGGTTCTCCGACTGGGTTCTTTCAAGGATGGAATTTCTATGATTGTGAGTTCTTGACTTTAGTCATTTGCAGTGTGAAAACACTACGCCTCGGGTTTATTATTATTATTATTATTTTCTAATCACTTCTTTATTGATCAAAATGTCAATAAATATTATCTCTTGATGAAGATGGAACTTGGAGCAATATTAAATAGTTATTTACTATGTACAAGTATATATGCAATGCTATTTGATCATGCCAGTCCATAAATAGATAGCTCTCTTTCACTTTCATAGATGGTTATTTAGCTTAAGAGGGCAAAGAAAGAATATTTTAAAACATTGGAAATACAAGGGCACTGCTCAAGTAAGAACTGTTTATAAACTGAATATTAAAATCTTGCACTGGCTCAATAATGACCGCTCCAAATGCAAGGATAGAATTTTCTGTGATGATTATTTCTTTGCATTCACACTTTTTTATTAATCAGTTCGTGAGTTCTTGACTTTAGTCACCTCATGCCATAAATAGATACTTGACACCTGTATTATCCCATCACTTCTATATTGATCAAAATGTCAAATAATATTAAATAGTTACTTTACACGTGTACATTATTGCTCAACCATTTGATCATGCCGGTCTATAAATAGATAGCTCTCTAGCTTTAACTCTCATAGATGATTTTTTAGCAAAGAGTGCAAACAAAAAATATCAAAACATTATGGGGATTCACCTGTCGATTCGCATGCTCTCGAAACTACTAGTTCTGTTGTTGTTTCATCTTGTGGTTGCAAACTTTGTAGACTCTTTGCAGCAGCTATCTTGCCATGCCGAGGAGAGCTCTGCCTTGCTGCAGTTCAAGGAGAGCTTTATGATTGACAAATCTGCTTCAAGTAATGACGGTGCTTATCCAAAGGTTTCATCATGGAAACCAGTTGGAGGAGGAAATAGCAGCTGCTGTTCGTGGGACGGCGTGGAGTGTGACGAGATGACGGGTCATGTTATTGGCCTTAATCTCAGCAGCAGTTATCTCTATGGCTCTTTGGACTCCAATAGTAGCCTGTTCAGCCTGGTGCATCTTCAAAGGTTAAGCCTCTCTGACAATAACTTCAATTACTCTCAAATTCCATCTAGCATAAGAAATTTTCCAGGCCTCACTCATCTTGACCTCTCTTGGTCTTTCTTTTCTGGTCAAGTCCCATCTGAAGTCTCACACTTGTCCAAGTTGACATACCTTGATCTGTGTTGTAATGTTATTGAAAATGGAACTCCTGGTCATCCTGATCGATTGTTGAAACTTCAACCATCCGATATGAGAAGTCTGGTTCAAAATTTAACTAGTCTAGAAACTCTTCATCTCAGTTTCATTAACATATCATCGATCATACCCGTTTCCTTGACAAATTTATCATTTTTAACATCCCTTGCCCTCAGGAAATGTGATCTATTTGGCGAATTTCCAGTGAAAATTTTCAATCTACAAAAC